GTGTGTGTTAATGTTGGAATAAAATGCAATGCTGGTGATACTTAGAGAATCCTATAGAAGTGAGGGTGCTAATGAGGCGATGTTCCTTATATCAAACCAACTGAATGCGGGGACCAGACCACACTGAAGGCCCTGTTGAACATTCTCTTTAATTTATGCAGTCCAAAGAGCAGTATCCAATAGCACAGGATGAGCACAAAGATGCCCACAAAGGTCACCAGACAACGCTTGGGCTGATTCCAATCCAGAATGGGATATACGTAGGGATTGCCAAATCTGCAGGGTATAAGGTAAACTAATGAGTTTTAAATCGAATGCGGGTTATACTAGAACTCACTCATCTGTGCCTCCGCAAAAGTGATAGATGAGGGTGAACACAAGAAAAAGATTGCCGCACTCATGCTGTACACCATGTGAAGGAGTCTCAAAGGAAATGCCACAACCAGGAAGTCAATTAGGATCATTACAGTATTTAGGCCATGGGTATAATGCTAATAGCCGGAAAGCGAGTGGGTTTGTCTGTTAAAGATCAAAAATGATTTAAATTGGGTCAATCTTAGGATCAGATAGACAACTCTACTCACTCATTCTGCCATGGAGAAACACCCAATAGACCGTTGATATAATCAATGCCAATGATAGGGTCATATTGTATAGCCACCAGTATATCTTAAGTCCCCTCGAAGTCTCCGCCTTTTTACCAGATTCCTGGACCAAACTCCTTGTGTTCCTCAGATCGAAATGCCAGCAGGTGACATGTACCGCAGAGATTAGCATAGTGATTGTTCCGAGGCCATATCCCCAGTTGGTCATATAGATGAAGAATTTGCCATCGCAGAACTGAATAATCATGCACATTATATAGACTCCCAGGAAGAACAGGGCCCAGATCCATCGATACAGCAAATATATTGTATTGGTGTCATCCTTTTGCCACTATTTGGAAAAGTAAAAGGTTTTAAATCAGTTAAATTTTTTTAAAGAAATATGTTGCACTTTAAATAACATACTAAATAATTAAGTAATTTGTTTCCACCACAAATAAAGTTTCAAACATTTTGTAATATGCGATTTAGACGTATTTGTAAGTTCTAAACTTACATTGTTGATGGTTAGATTATAGAGCTCTAAATGGAAATTTCTATTAGTCCTAATCGCGGTCAAATATTTAACCCTTGCACTATGATCTAATTTCAATTTACGTAATATATTAATTTTATATTCCACACCTTTGCCTGTTCAAATTAACAAAAAAAACCGTAAATGATTATGGCATCTCTTATCATGACTTTCTGCTTATCACTCCCAATGACGTAGTCAGAATCGGGCCTGTCTAGCTAGTCACACTTGTCCTTCGATTCAAAGTCTCTGTTTTACGCGTGCCTAATACTAATTAAATTAGTTTGATTTGTACTTAATTTTTTTATGCGGAAATGCAATCATTTCGATAGTCCCTGATTACGCGGTTCGCCATGGATATTTATGGACATCGGTCTGATAAGGTCTGGCCGGCATATTTATAGCGTTATGCTCCAAAACTATATTGCTATCTGGTTCCTTGTTTGTTTTGATTAGCTTTCTATTGGCAAAAATGTGTAATTCTTTTATGGCAGAATTCCCAGAACTTTTTGCGTCGCTCGTCTGGGGGTTAACTTTTTAGGGAGCCCATTGCGATCGGGTATTTTTAAAATGACTCAGAATTTGATTACTTTGATAAGCTAAAAAAAAATTTTTTATTTTTTGAAAGCCTCTTTAATGCAGGAGAACACTAAAAGTTAACAATTGCCTTGTTCAAGGCGCGGTATCTAGATAAAGTAAGATTGCCGACTTTTAACCAGTCAACACTTTATTTGTATAATTGTGCCTTAAATTCTGATGTTTATGATTTAGATTTTGTGTGTCTGGCACAATACGGTTTCGATCAATATTTATAAAAGTTGTTTGTTTTCACAGCTTTCCATTCATAAACATTCTATTAAACTCCCAGCCAATGTGAGTTACACTTCTGAAGTTGCTATAGGTGAATGTATACTCCACAAATGAATGATCTAACGATTGAAGGGGCACAGCTTTTAGTTAAGCTACGCTAATTAAATTCGAGTGAATAAACATCGCCTGTGAGTGTATTTTCTATGCATGCTTCCACATTTCGTGTGTGTATTCACTCTAATTAGAACTTTATGCATTCCTCCTTAATTTTATGCTGTATTCTAACCAAACCAAGATGTTTCGATGTCTCCTATGACCCTATGTCACAGTGTTAATATAATATAATTCTTTTTATATTAATTTCTGACACTCGTTACATTTTACTCAGAGTTATTTCCTTTATTTAATTTTTCTGGTGAACTTAGGTTCTTAGTTAATTTTGTTAAGTGTTGCCTCCCCTTTACTGATGGTTATTCTTATCAAAAATATTTTTTATATTGCACTTATCTAGGTGTCTCTCAGGTAGTTTTCTAAACTTTTACGTCACACAAATTCGCGGAATTTTTTTGTATAAGAATTTCGGGGTCACCATTCCCATTTTTTTTTTGGGGTTGTACCATAAGGCTGTTATACATATATATACATATATATTTGTTTGTGTTTCAGAAACACGTGCCTGCAATGATGTCACACTAACGGTTAGAACTCCTCCAACATTCACTAATGACGGGGACTTACAATGTCTTGGGTTTGTTTTATTTTTTGCTACTGCTATTTGAACTACTCGTATGATACACCTGAGCAGTTACAGCACCGATAAGGTTGCAGTATTTGGACTGTAATTAAGGGGAAACTCTCCTCACCTGCGATCTGTAGAACAGATGAACGCGATTGTATGAGAAGCCAAAGTTTGCCCGCTGCAGTTCCTTGTTGAAGCATTTGCAAAAGTCGTCGAAAAGTTGCATGATTTCATATATTTCTATTATGTTTAACTGTAATTTATTTTATTTATTTTAATCGCGAGACAGGATTTTAATTTAAGGGAATTTTTCGAGGAGGGGAGACTTCCGACCTGAGTCGCTTGTGACCGGCAACTGGCGTTGAGAACCTTTTTCGTGTGACTTTGCCAGTGCTTTCTGAGTTATGTTTACGACGCGCACGAGCACCCAAAGAGAGAGAGAGAGAGAGTAAGTGGAGAAGGAGCAGAGAAGAAGGAGGAGGAGTGGGAGCGGGTTCCCCGATCTTGAAATGGGGCTTTTGGGGCTTTTTCGAAGTCCGGAGGCGCGCTTACTCGTTCGATTCCCAACGACGAACTGACTGATAGATCGATCGATCGGAACTCAAAGATCACTCCGGCGAACGATCACTTTGCACATCGGATGCCTAACGGGAAATGGGAAAACTGACCAGTGGCGTATCGGGCTTTATAGTTGCAATATCATTGCTTTATAGCGACATCGCCGCTAAATTCAATTAAATATGTGGAGCAGCCGCCCGCCAAAACGAGTGTCGGATGGCAAAAGCCGCCCATCTCTCTTGCTGGTGGAATCGTTTTTACACAAGAATATTTGTATCAGTGATCACTATTGACAGCTGCGTATCGCCACTCACACACACATTGTCACCATTGACCAGCTTTGAACTTGAAGCCATAAAGGTCGCCCCAATTAAGATCGCCATTAAGCTGAACCACCCAAGAAAAAAAGTGCCAGAGTTCCAATGCCGTGCAGCACTTGGCGATGACCTACATTATCCAAAAATGGCACAGACATCATACCCGTCTGGCGATAAGCAAAGCGGGGTAAAAGTTCGACCTTATCTAATCCGAGGAGAGAGCTTTCACGCACTTCAAGAATCGCTAATTGGGTTTTAATTAAATATCGCTTCAGATAACAATTTATTACTGACTAAAGTTCAGTTTCACTGAGATTTATAAAGAGTTTTGTTTTTATAGAAATTTACAATGCAGTGTTTGGGTTTTTAATGGAACCTTAATTTTAGAAAGTATATTAATAATAATTGGTTTAATCATTTAAAATTTTTTTTTAATATTTATTTTGGGATTACGTTTTTTGTTTGTTTTTATAGACAAACAAGTAGATTTCGTAAAAAATGTTATTCTATTGTATTTAATTTGTATTTAAATATAATAATACTTAAAGCACTAAGTTTATTTGTTTGTTTATTGGCAAACAAGTATATTTCGTGGAAAATAATATTGACGTAAAAGGGCGTTACGCGATAATAGTTTTTATGAAGACCATATGTTATTGCAGTGCCTTTCTAAAGAAATATTTTGCTTTTAGATTTGATCTTTATTTATATTTTGTTTCAAAGAAATAAAGTTAATTTAAAATTTGATCAGCTGTATTCGCAGATTGAAAACATTACTCACAAGCTTTTAAGGCAACAATTAGGAAAAACCGGTTATTTACGGAATATGTGTACTGAAGTAGATATTAATCAAATATAATCAGGGGAATAAAGTAGTCGTATTTATTTGCTACCCTGTTGAGATAGGCAAAGAGCATTCATATATACATATATCCATCCGACTCTCTTGCTGGCATATTTGTGCAATTGAAATTGAACCGTTTATTAAACGTTCCAGCATCGATTACATATCGACATTCCGGCTATTTGCATATCATTCCCGGTGTCGATTTCGGAGCCTTCTCCCGGTTATAACTCATCGGAGGGGTTACGGGTTCGTTACCCCAATATCTGACCTTGCCATTGGACGGACGGGAATCACAGATCGAAAGTGTCGTCGGCACTTGTTGTAAGATAGCCGTGAAGACAAATTGAAATTGGTTCTTCATTGCATAAATAAATTATAATTGAATTTCGATTTCAAGAAAAACACATTTCAAATTGACACTTTGCACAATTTCTTCTTCGGTGGGAATCAAGACGATTAATTGAACAATTGACCACGAGTTTTGCTTTTTAAAGGAATTTCCAGATGAGCAACAGACGGCGTGTTTTCTGATTACATTAAATGGAAACCAGAGATTAGTTGTTTTGTAAACATTGGAAATTTTTTGGATTTAAGTAGCGCAATGGAAATTCAAGTAGCCTCCCCTCATCATCAAGTAAACAATGGAAAGTATGGGAAATTTTCCAACCTTTAGGGAATGAAGAGCTGGAAGGAATTGGAAACTTATAAATAAAGTGCTTGTTTTATTGTCTTACGTTTAACATTTAAGAAACACCCTGTATTTCCCAAAAGCTTTTAAAAAGTTCTTAAACAATTTGCTCAGTTTGTCAATATTCTCAGGTAATCTATGATTCATTACACTGATTAACACACGACAAACTTACATATATAATAGGTAATAGGAAATTAAATATATAATTTAATTATACCCTTGCAGAACTTTAGTAAAAACCTTGTAACCCTGTGAAGAAAACATTTCCGACCCTATAAATCATATACATATATTCTTGATCAGCATCAAAAGCCCAGTTGATCTAACCATGCTCGGTCGAAATATAAATTTTGAAACATTTTTCAAAATATTTAAAAAATTTATAAGGGGTTACATCGTTAATATTCAAAAAATTAAAATTTTATAAATTATTTAGAATGGTATGAAGATTTATTAACCGTCTTAAAACTAACAAAGAAAAGCTTTCCGAATTGAATTTAATGCATTTTTTGCTTAGTTTTGATATTTTGTAGCATCATGGAATTGTCAAAAATTCATAAATATTTTAAATATTTAAATATTGATGTATTGAAGAATATAGTGAAGAATATAGTGGTTTCCGAATAAAAGTCAGGATCATCATATATGGCTAACTGAAAGGTTACCTCCCTTCGTTTTTAATAACTTTTTATCGAAAATCCCTTGATTCACTTTTTAATATCTTTAGGAACATCATTTTTCTATTTTTTTTTTTTGTTAAAGAAACCACAAATTACACTTTCACTTTGTCCTGCTAAAATTCCCCCTAAAAATTCTGGAACACATATTACGATTTTCGAAATCTAGTTATGTTTTCTCAGTTAAAAAATACTTAACCGAGTACCGGTAAGGGACCTGTTTAATTTAATTCTTTAGATTGGCTTGCCGGAAAATAAGCTTTTCTTAGAAGGGACTTAATCTTACCCATAAATTTCCCCAGTTAATATTTTTAATATTAACCGTTTATTGGAATTAACTGTTCGCCGATTGAATAGTTTTTTTTTTTTGCGAACTCTTATCGCTTCCAAGTCTGGTGGGAACGAGTCTGACAGCACTTGATTTGTCACAGAGAAAAAACCACCGACACTTGAGGAATACGAGGGTTTATCAATAGGTTTATGACCGAACGATATGCATATGCGAAAATTCCCAAAATGTTTAAAAATTCACAATCATCGATTGGACTCCACCCAATTTGGGATATTAATGAGGTGGGAAAATTCCCAGCCATGGGCCGGTGTAAAAGTTCAATTTGGTCTAGGCATCTGCTGAAGCTTGTCCACATCCACGTCCGAGTTCCAGGCCTTATCGGGGTGGCGTACGAATTAGACATAAACGGTGCTCGTTCGGGTGATAAAGACCGAGATAGCCGCCGGAGCGGTTCCTATCACACTCCACGATTACCTCGATTCTGGCCGAAACGATTTGCGGAAAACATGGCCCTCGACTCCGGGTATTCGACACCTGCGACACATGGTTGCGCCAGTCTGCGATCTACCGGCGAGTCAGTCACCTGCTCTGGACTCTTTTGGCCCTCCTAGTCCAGCGAACCCGACGACGCGTCCACCCAGCCTCGAGTATGCGGGACAAGAGTGAGGAGCCTTGCTGTCTGCCCCTCAAGGAGGAGTTCCAGCGTTCCAAATTCTCGCTGCATTACGATGATCCTGGTGCCTTCTGCCGCTCCCAGTGGCAGAGGGGGGATCGCAATCTGATCTGGCTTCTATATCGATGGGTCCTGGCGGCATTCTTTGCAGGCGGAGTCATTGGCAGCATGGTGAGCTCCTTTAACGGTGGACGCTGGTTCATCTATCTGACGGATTGGGGCTTCTCGCTGTGCTTCTACTGCTGCACCTATGGCGCTGTTTTGGCCACGATTTACTTCATCAGACCCTCCTATTTCGGTGAGTAATAGCCTGGCGGCATTCATTCATTTCTTTTCTTATCATTTCATTTAACATATACTATTTTTCAGCTCCTGGAAGTTGGGCCCTAAAGATCTATTGGATTTCTCACTATACAACTGTGGTGCTTGCCATGCTGATTACCTTGGTTTTCTGGGCTGCTCTCTATCCTTGTGAGTTGAACTTATTAATTATTACCGAATAATTACTAATAATAAACAAATATCTTTTATAGCAATGCCTGAAATGGGAGCTGAGCTGTACAATTTGTGGGCTCATGCCTTTAACTCGGTTTGCATGATCTTTGACTGCTTCATGGTGGCCTTTCCAACACGGATCATGCATTTTGTGTATCCTTTTACAGCTGGCATCACCTACGGGATATTCTCCTTGATATACTTTTGGTCCGGCGGAGTTGATCCGTAAGTATAAATACGAATTAAGACAAGGAGACTATTTGCTAACTTTCTTACAAATCCACAGGATGGGCAATCGATTCATCTACTTCATCTTGGACTGGGAGCGACCCGGTCTGGCCATTGGAACTGTTTGTGGATGTGTGGTGTTGGTTAGCTTCTTTTGTGTGCTGGTATTTGGTTTCTATAGATTACGTATCTCAATGCAAGAATGTTGCTGTAGAAAACCTGAGGAAATCCCAGCCACGACAGCTCCTCCTCCTATTGAGCCAAGGCATGTTGCTTGAAAATTCTAAAAAAATTCTTCTAAAAGAGTTTTAGAAAAGCAGTAGAAGGAGTATTTGATTTCTTTGAGGAATCCTAAAGATAGTCCTGCCGCTGGTTCATTAAGTATCTTATCTTTTACATTCTCAGCTAGAGAAGGTATTAGCCTAAAATGGTAAAAAAGCCTGATCAAAAATATTTATTAGAAATATCAACCAATAAACCATATTCCATAACAATGCTAGGTTATTAAATTAATCTTACAGTCTTATACATTCTAATGTTCCTAAAATGTTATTTAAATTAGATAAAACTTGGGAAATACTTATCGAATTCTTATTATTATGAATGCCAGACAATGATATCTGATATTTAATGTTCGTCAGATAGTAGAACCTGGTATTTTCCTACTAGTGAATTGGCTTATGTCAATCAGCTAAGGTTTATATGTACTGACATCAACATTGGGTCTATGTTTGTACATAAACTTATCACCTACAAATTGATATTCCCGCCGGTATCAATGGCAATAACAAGTCTTTTGTAATATTTCATATTCGTACACATTTGAGACAGGTTGATAGTGGCTATACAAGTGTTAAACTAATAATCCCTATCTTGGAAATTTTACTTATTGATAGCTGAGTTCTGATTTGCTTAAAACTTGTTTAAACTAAACTGCTTTATATATAACTATAGTTAATTATCTAGAGATTTAAATCATTGCAAGAAAACTAGTAAATGCCGCGTCAGAGGAAAGAACATACGACACTTGAAAATTATCAAAAGTTCTTAACCAGTTTTCGGCTTTACGACCATCACCTGCATATGCAAACATATATACATATGGAAACCCCGAAAAATGTGCTTCTAAATTCCAATAATGGCTAAAGCGACTGCGCTAGAAAGGAGATTAATGTTCCTCGTCTCGAAGTTCGATTTCGTTGACCGCTCCAAACCGACCTTGTCCACGTTGGGGGTCTTATCGGGGGCGTGCACCACTGCCGAATCAGACATATACGTTGCTCACTAGGATGATAAGGATCGTGATAATTCAGACGGCGTGTATCGCACCATTCAAGCCGAAACAATGTGCGGGAATGTGTTGGCCCCTATTAATGACTATTGAACACCTGGGCCGCTGTCAGTCTGCATTCTACCGGCGAAGCAGTAACTTCTATTCGAAGTCCTCCAAATCCAGTTAGCCGAAATGGTCGATAAAAGCCAGGAATCCTGCTGTCAGCCCTTGAAGGAGGAGTTCCAGCGCTCGAAATTCTCGCTTTATCATGAAGATCCCGGAGTCTTTTGTCGCTCGCAATGGCAAAAAGGAGACCGAAATATAATTTGGGTTTTGTACCGATGGTTTCTGGCCGCTTTCTTTGCCGCTGGCGTTATCGGCAGCATGATGCAGGACTTTAACGGCGGTCGTTGGTTCATTTTCCTTACCGACTGGGGATTTACACTGTGTTTATTTACCTGTACCTTTGGGGCTGTAATCGCAACGATATACTACATTAACCCCGCCTATTTCGGTATGTAAAAATTGCAGTATAAAGTCCATTTCGTATGACCCATTTGCACTGCAACTTAAGTGTTACTTTTAAGTTATATGAGAACATTGATACTTGTAGAACCTGGCAGTCGATCCCTCAAGATTTACTGGATCTCTCACTATACAACATCTGTGCTATCAATGCTGATAACGCTGGTCTTTTGGGCCGCACTTTCATCTAGTAAGTTGTACCAAGGACCTTATTATCTTTGGTTGGGATGTATTAAAGACTTATCCATCCGTAGCCCAGCCTGAAATTGCTGGAGAGCTGTATAACCTGTGGTGTCATGCCTTCAACTCGATATGCATGGTCTTCGACTGCTTTATGGTGGCCTATCCCGCTCGTCTCCTGCATGGTATCTATCCCCTTTCCGTAGTGCTTATCTTCCTGGTGCACTCATTGATCTACTATTGGGCTGGCGGCACTGACATGTAAGCGGTGGCTTTTTAATTGTTCTAGTGCACTTCTTTTATTGTTAATCCAACAGGGATGGAAATCGGTTTATTTACTACGCCCTGGACTGGGCACGTCCTGGTCTAGCAATTGGGTTTGTTTGCGCCAGTCTGGCTTTGATTTGCTGCTTTTCCCTGTTGGCCTTCGGCATCTACCGCTTGCGGTTGTCGATGTACAAATGTTGCGGAAAAAGTCAAGAGGAATCACAATCAACAGAAACTGCTCACAAGGAATCATCTTTAGCTGTTTAATTCATTTCATTTTTTATCAATTTTAATCGGTTTAAAGGTTTTAGAATAGGGTAGTTAAGCCATTTTCTGGACCACCGCAAACTGCAGTGATTGGATTTGGTTGGACCACTTCTCCAGGGCATTGTAACGCGATGCACTGCTATTGATTTTATCCAGCTGAAGCACCTGGTTGACCTGGTCGATGCGTCCCTTGATGGTGCTGAAGACGAAATAAATATTAGTTGAATTCTCAGAGCCGTCAAGCGTTTTCTTACTCATCCAGGATGCAGGAGACTAGTAGACTCTCTACCTCTGCTGGCTCGATGTTCAGGGCATTGGCAATGAAGGGTATAGCGATGTTCTTGTAGGGTCTAATCAGTTTAATGAGCACCTGAGTGCGAATGTTGCGCAATAGGTCCTCGATGTGTTCCCGAATAAACTGATCAGCCATTATGTTGCTCCGGTGCTGACGCAGGATGGTCTCGAACTCGTTGATGTCATTGTTCTGGTAGGAGTTGACGAGATTAGTCATGGCCAGGATCTCGGGATCGTTCTTGTACGGCTTGGCCTCCTGGGAGTCGAATGGATTGATGCCAGATTTCATCAGCCTTAGAACGAAATGGAACTATTATCTCCTTGAATTATTAGTATTTGATTTAAACTCACATGTTAGCCAAAACCAAGTACTTCAAGCAGGTGGTTCTACGGGGAGAGCCGCTCTCATCGTAGTTCTTGAACGCCTCAAAGAAGTCGGTGTGCGCCTTTTCGAACTCTCCCTCCCGAAGATGCATTTTTCCACCACACTCACGGATCACGCCCATGATCAGGGGATGTGGAATGGCCGACTTAATGTGAAGGGACTGCTCGTAGAGCGCCTTGAGCTTTTTGTTGTTCTTCTGCACCGTGTACATCTGGATCTCTAGGGCATATATCTCCAGCAGTTGAGTGCCCTTCTTTAGATCGTCCTCGCCGTCGTCCGTCTGGCAGCTTTGGTGCAGCTGTTTGAGTATTTTCTGCAGCTTTGTAAAGTCGTTGCGATCAAAGTACAGCTTGCCCAGCTTCGTGTTGGTCTTGAACCAAAGACGATCGTTCTTGGCATCGCGCAGGGCGTCCAATGTGGTTTCGTAGAAGTTCTGGAGCAGGCCCATCTGGAAATCAATTTGTTGAGTTAGTTAGCTCTTCTCTTATACTTGCTTTGTCATACTAACATTCTTTGATGTGGATATATAGTCCAGGATGGAATTGATGCTCTTTTCCGAATGGTTTCTGGTCACAGCACTTTTAATATACGTTAGTAGCTGCTTATAGCGCACCATCATCTCATCGTAGTTGCACTGTATAGAGATAACATTATATATACTTGTAAAGATTATATTTGCATTTTCTTACCAGCCTAAAGTTGATTTTAATCATTTGCTTCAGCGCCTTGAATCCCCATTCCCCTTCTCGCCGTTCTCCAGGTCGAGCACCTTCTGGAAACTGGCCAAGGCAGCCTTGGGCTCCTCCTCCTTCAGCGCCTTGCTGTTGTAGTACTGATTCTCCAGATCCACATCAGGTTCCGAGTTGCTGTCCTCGGAGTACTCCTATAAATGGTAATTACAACAAATTGAGACACCAGAAGCCGGCAGCAACACCGGGTTTCCCATGCTATACGTACCAGTCCATAATCCTCGTCGTCGTCGCACATGAAATCGTCATCATTGTCCGACATTTTACAGCTTCGAATATAATATATACTTGGCAATCAAATAATTTGTGTAATATAATTTTTGTATTTTGCAAAAACACAAAGCAGGATTTGTTGTGACCGTCCAATTGTTTAGTTAAAATGCCGAGAACGGATTCTTGAACTCCCCAATTTGGTCACACTAAATCAAGTGGCAGCGCTGCCATTCCTTTATATTTATATCTTTCACCATCATTTCTTTAAATCATATAAAAGAAATCGAGGCTAACAGAAGGGAAAAATTTTAAATTTTCGTGGAAATAATTTGGAAAACCTTAAAATAAAGCTTGTTAAAAAAGCCGGTATGATACAGTGTTGCCATGTTGGCCCAAAAACATTGCACAGTGCAGCCGGAATGACTTTTTAAAATTAGTTAAGTGAGCTGATGTGGCAACTCTGGCATAGAAATCTCAAACAAAAAAAAATAAAAAAAAAAATGAGGTAAACAATTAGCATATTTGTTAAATATGTGAATTACTTCATTTAAATACACAAAAAACCCTCAAAACACACACAGCCTGACAAAGAGACTCCTGCACATCTTTCCCCGTTGCAGTTTCCCCAAGAGAACACATCCCTCCGCGGATCGGAATTCCCAGCCAATTTCCGAGGCTCTTCTGGCGCAAGTTGACCGGGAAACAAAGAACTTGCAGCTTCTAGAGATTGCGTCCGGATCGGGACAACATGCTGGATACTTGGCACCGCTGCTGCCCAACATCTCCTTCCAGCCGACGGAGTACGAGAGGCAGCAGCTGGAATCCATTTCCGCCTACGCAAAGGATTGCCCCACCGGAAACATTCGAGAACCCTTTTGTGTGGACATCACTCAGGAACCCAGAGATTGGGAGGTGCCCCCGACACCGGCCAGCTTTGATTACATGTTCAACTCCAACATGATGCACATCAGTCCTTGGTCGTGTTCCACCGGACTCTTTAGGGCTGCCGGGCAGCTGCTGAAGAAAGGTGGCAGAATGTTCACCTACGGACCCTATGCCCTGGACGGCGTCCTCACGCCGCAGAGCAACGTAGATTTCGACAAGAGTCTTCGCAGCAGAGATGCCTCCTGGGGTGTTCGCGACATCAAAGACCTGAAGACGGTGGCACTGGAAAATGGCCTGCAGCTGGAGAAGTTGGTGGAGATGCCCTCCAACAACAAGTTTCTGACCTGGCTTAAGCTGTAAAATAGTGCACTAGAATACGACAAATGATCGATTACCCTCTTAGATAACGCCAATGGAGTAGTTAATGTCGTTTATTTCGCGGCAATAAAGTTTATTGGCGGCCAGCTCATCAAACTAGGCCAAGTGGACAATGCGAGGTGAGGCGAGTGTGCAGGGATTGACCCTGAAATCGCGGTTGATAGTCGGCCTGATTGATTGGTGGGTGCTATATAAGGGTGTATCGGATTGAACCTGCAGCATAAGCGATCGGACATTGGAGACTCTGACATGGAACGGACCATTCTTCAGCTGCTTCTCATCGGGATTCTCCTGGCAAATCTAAGCCTGGCGGCCACAGTGAGACGACCACGCCTGGATGGACGCATTGTGGGTGGTCAGGAGACGAATATACAGGACATTCCCTATCAGGTCTCCCTGCAGCGGGGCTATCACTTCTGCGGCGGTTCCCTGATCGCCCAGGGTTGGGTCCTGACTGCCGCCCACTGCACAGAAGGCTCTGCCATTCTGCTCTCCAAGGTCCGGATAGGCTCCTCGCGGACTGCTGACGGTGGATTGGTGGTGGGAATCAAGCGAGTCCATCGACACCCTAAATACGATGCGTACACCATCGATTTTGATTTCTCGCTTCTCGAGTTGGAGGATTATAGCGCACAGAATGTGACCCAGGCCTTTGTGGGACTTCCGGAACAGGATGCGGACATTGCAGATGGCACTCCTGTCCTGGTTTCCGGTTGGGGCAACACTCAAAGTGCCCAGGAATCCACGGCCGTGCTGAGAGCTGTAACAGTGCCGAAAGTAAGCCAGAGGCAGTGCACAGAGGCCTATGGAAGCTTTGGAAGTATCACGGATCGCATGATCTGCGCCGGATTGCCCGAAGGCGGCAAGGACGCCTGCCAGGGCGATTCTGGTGGCCCCCTGGCCGCTGACGGTATCCTTTGGGGCGTCGTCTCCTGGGGCTACGGATGCGCCAGACCCAGCTATCCGGGTGTTTACTCGAGAGTTGCATCGGTTCGCAATTGGATAAGCTCAACAAGTGGTATTTGAGATGTTAGAGGAGTAAAGTGTATTGTTTGCTTCCAAATATAGATTTAATTAAATAACAAAATTCGTATTTTTGAAACTAAAGCTGGGTTGATTGTATTCTTTTTTCAATTAAGCCTTAGTAAGTTAATTAAGGGCCTAAGAAAAAGTTTAATAGTATAATTAGATTAGCGGTCAAAGGTACCAATACTTTCCAAAATGAACTAGTTAGTTAGTTAGTTGTTCAGTCTAACATTTTATCAGTCTCCTTAAATTGCCATGTTTTTTTGCTTTGCTTTTGAGACAAATTCAATCAAAGAACTTGTGGCACTTGCCTTGGAAGCAGCTGCTCCTCCGACGGTCCATTCATCATCATGTTCAACGGAAGCCAATTGACCCAGAAAAACCTTAAAGCCAAATATTGACACAGTCTACAGAGAGAAGAAGCAGGACTGACCACATCATATCCATAACTGCAGACAGAGACGAAGAGCAAATTTACTTAATGATTGGCCCAAAGGCAAATAAAAGTTCACAGGAACAAGAACAGGAGAGAGGCAAAGTTGTCATAGGTAAAGTGAATTGATTGGGGGGTAGAATGCCATAAGTTTCCATTTCGAGTGCCGCCCAGATGCCGGTTGGTTTTCATTCTTGATTGCTATGCCCCCTTTTGGTCGGTTTTCTTTTCGTTTTGGTCTTCCCAGTCACTTTCCAGGACGCACTAATTGTTGATTAAATGCTGCAAATTGCTGCGAGTGTTCCTATTCTTGGTTGTGTTTCTCCCGGCTTTTCCTGTTGACGTTTTCGGTTACCTTTCGCCCATCTACGGTTGTCAAGGCAGTTAGCACGGCGACCACAGGTGACGGAGGGGATCGAGGCGGGGTGGGGTGCAAATGGTCCAGCCGGAAGGTGTGTCTCTGTGTGAACCTTCCCTCGTGTCCTTTGGGTCATTGCAATTTTGCACGTGAACTGGTTAACAGCAAGGAGCCAAACACAAAAAGAAGAACTCAAGACATGAACTGCAAATTGAACGGTTATGTCGAGATGGCTTACAAGGCAAACTTTCTATGTGTTGGCTTTCTCCGAATGAACTCATTGGAATGAACTCCAGTGGCTTGCGGTACAGCATACTTTCTATAACTTTACAAGGGGTATTTTAATTTTAGTAAGAAGCATACAAAAGTATATATATTCTTGATCAGCATCATTAACCTAGCTCATCTCATTACTGTTACATCGATTTTATTTCAACTCTAATAACAGTTGTCGAATGTTAATGCTATAACTGCAGGAGTATATAAACTTTGGCTGAATTAAGGTACATTGCTTGTTAAATTTAAATTAAGTTCGTGGTAAATATTCATATTCCTATCTACGACCAGCGTAAAATTAAACCCGAAACACATTTTAAATTAATAAAATAAATAAATTTAATGCAATGTATTAAGAAACTGTTGCCCTTTTCGATGCTTGCATAAAAAAGAAAAGTTAAACAAGAAAGAAGCTAACTTCTCTGATTGAAATTCGATCACTATTAATTAGTACAATATAAATTGCACATTTTGAAGTTAAAAGACAATAAAGTAATGCCTGCTTTCATTTGGTTCCCCGTTTGGCATTTTCCTCTATTTTTAACGATCTTTTGTATGACAGCTATATTATATTGTAGTCCGATTTTCATAAAATTTTACAAAAAATTCTAGGTTAATATATAATTGCTATATATCAAGTTTTATGAAAATGTGTTGAAAACTGGAAAAGTTATATTTTTTTTCCTACAATTTTCCGATCGTTCCTATGGCAGCTATATTTATGTATATTCATATACTATAGTCCACCGATTTGCCATGCCTTGACTTATATACTAGTAAAATTATATAGAAGAATAACTTTATAGTTTCATTCAAATAGCTTAATTTGTTCCAAAACAAATCTGACACATCTGTGCATATGATTCCCAACTCGTTCTACTGGTCTTAGATATTTGCTGTTCAAAGTTACTTATTGCTCATTGTTATTTAATATTCATAGAAACTTACTGATCATAGATAATTACTGGTCATAGTTAATTACTGATCTCAGTTCTATAAATCGACCGATTGTTCATATGTTATCTATATATATAGTCCACCGATTTGCCATGAATTGACTTATATACTAGTAAAATTATATAGAAGAATAACTCCATAGTTTCATTCAAATAGCTTAAATTTGTTCCAAAACAAATCTCGCACATCTGTGCATATGATTCCCAACTCGTTCTAACATCCCCGGAACGAAGTGACTGCTTCCGGCCAAGTATCAAAAATACTCATAGATACTCACTGTTCAGAGTTATTTACTGTTCATAGTTTTTTAATATTCATAGAAACTTACTCATATTATATATTGTTATAACTTGCAGGGTATTATAATGTTAGTCAGAAGCTTTCAATTAAGTGAAGAAATCATTTTAGACCCTAAAAATGGCTTACAAAATGATTAAGAGAAGAAATCATTTTAAACCCTAAAGGATGGCTTACATTTTTTTAAAACTTTTTCTGGAAATTAGTTTTTTTATCGTGTTCATCAATCGTCTGAAACTAATTCACCTCTAATATTAATATTAAATACACCTATAATATGTGTTTAAAACGGCGTAGTTGCACGTGGCCAGCTCACTCCGGAATTAATTGCTTGTATTAATCACCAAGAATAATAAATATTGTGAGCTTATCGCCATTTCTAGCGAAATTCGATTTCATCCAAACATTGCGAATTTTTATTATAGGTGCTGACAATTTTACAAATTAAGTGGTTAAGAAATCGTTCAGCACTTCCTTGATTTCTTAAGAAATTTATCAAATTTATTAAGCAAATATAATGTTTTTATTTGGATTTTATTCTTCTGCAGTTAAAAAACATATTCCTATTCATTTTTCATGTAAATGAATAAAAGTAAAAGAGGTATACAACTTTTTATAACTGTGTACACCTATTTTACTTTATTAATTTATTTATGCAAAAGTGAGTTGAACTACAGAATATAAAAATATAAATAAATTACTTAATGGAATAAAACTTAATAAATTATTTATTTGAACCCTTCTTTTCGAGGTCCGATTGACATCGCTGAGTTTATCCTTTAAAGTGCTTGAGCCTTTTTCAGTAGTGGCGACCTCTACTAACGACTTGTGGCAGTACTTAAGCTGCTTTTGTTATTGTTTTTCTGGATTGGTTTTCCCATTTCCCGCTTGTTTTCCTTTTTTTCACCCCCGTTTGTTGTTCATGGGAGCCACCGAGACATAGAAAATGTAAAATTTGTTTGTTTCCTTTCATTGTTGTTGAAAGTTTTTGCAGCTGCTGCAGACAATGCAATGAGTCGGGTCCTGTGTAGGAGCCCCTCTTCGGTCTCTAATTTTATCTCTTGTCCTACCATGGGGACTGTCTTATTATTATAGTTCGTCGATTTGTTTGCACTGAAGTCTGCATTGTTGTTCTCCTAGCTGGTCCGCAGGCGGACTTGTGTGTATGTCCAGCTGGCCCAATAACATTCGATTGTAATAAATTATTCTGCAGCTTTTGTAATTTGTTATTTGGAAGACAAATATTGTTGCTGGCATCAACAAAAAAATCCATTAAAAACTTGTTTATGCAACGACAAAGCGCATGCTAATGGGGAGGTCCTAGTTTCCTTTTTAAATAAAGATACCAATTAGGTGGTATATTTACCGTGCTAGGTATTTTATTAAGCCTTAACATTCCAGTTTTTATAAGGAATAAAATTAGAAATATCACCGGATATTATTAGGGACCATAAAAGATAATTTAAATCATTTATTAATCAATGTATGTATGTATGTATGTATGTATGTATGTATGTATGTAGATATGTATTTATCTTTTAATTTTTTCAATAAATTGCTAAATGCATCAATTTATTTCTAGCATGTACTTTAAACGATATGAGACTTTAAATAGAACGTGAAAGGACACTAATTTCGCAAAGCCGAAGTTTGATTACTCTTGCAATTTGCGATTCGATCATAAGATCGATTGGAAAAACAATCATAACTAAGCCTAAAATGCATTAATTTAAGTCCTAGTGCTAATTTTTATTTGGTTAAAAAATCTGCATACTAAATTTGGTCTTTTAAAATTTTAAAATTTGAAATTTTGTGTCAATTTTTGAAAATTTTAACAATGTAACCCCTTAATTCCTTCACTGCGATTCAAGCTTCTGAATGAAATTATAATATCTGAAAGGGTATAACAATAGGTAAATTCAAATAAATAAATATGCATGCGTTCAAGTTGCAAAATATTCTCTAGATATTTTCAAGTTAGGCCAAAATTGTATGAAAATATATAATAGAAAATTAAATACATCTGCTTCTGGGCCATAGAGACTTGTCTATGGCTTCTTTGGATGGCCTACGCGGCGTATGCTTGATCTGCCGGGATGTTGTGGCCTTAGTTCGCTGTCGCTGTGAGTGTGTGTGTGTGTGTGGGTTTTTTATGGAAATAATATTCTTGTCAGGATTAAAAAGGATACGTGACCGGAATGCGAATGCAATGTGCAAGCGGAAATGTGGCCGGGACCGGCAAGGAGCGGAACAAAAAGCGGAAAAAGTAGACAAACAGGAGCCGCAACAGGACTAAAATGTAATTGTCAGACTCGTCGACTTTTGCTATCGTTGTCGCCTGTCGCATATCTGTATCTATGCTTGTGTTTGTATTTGTCTTGCCATCCCTCTGAGCCACTTCCCCACCGCCATCATCATCATCATTTTGATGCTTATCCTTGCTTATTGTCCTGTCAGAAAAGCTCGCTGCTCCTTGTTTTCCACTACACTTTTTCGTTTTGTTTCCTTTTTAATTTTAAGAAAGCATATTGTAATTCCGTTGTTTACCTGTTTGGACACACGGATACACGTATTTTTTAAATCTCGACCGCAGGCGATCCCCAGTTTTTTCCCAGATTGGAGTGTCCCCAGTGTCCCCTCTTAGTGGCTCCTTTGCCACTGCACTTAGTCATTTGTCCTGTCATTTGTAATATTCCCTACGCATCCTTGACAGCGGCTGAGGATTCTGGTTGCCACAGTTGCTGCTTAGCTATGCGTGGCATGTCCTGGGCAATGGCCACGATTGTGATGTATGATTTTCAATTTCACCTACGGCAAGTCCTCTTCTAATTTACTTGGCTGAAAAACAAAAGAAAAAGTGCCTCCTTCGTTCTGGGAGCTTATCCTGGGCTTATCAAGGCGGCTCAGCTATGTACGTGTTTTTTTTTTTTTATACCCTTGCAGGGTATTATAATTTCAGTCAGAAGTTTGCAACGCAGTGAAGGAGGCACCTCCGACTATATAAAGTATATATATTCTTGATCAGGATCAACAGCCGAGTCGATCTAACCATGTCCGTCTGTCCGTCTGTCCGTCTGTCCGTCTGTCCGTCTGTCCGTCTGTCCGTTTCTACGCAAACTAGTCTCTCAGTTTTGAAGCTATCTGAATGAAACTTTGCAGTTAGTCTTCTATATACTCTCACTCGTATATATGTCGGAACGGGCCGGATCGGACGACTATATCATATAGCTGTCATAGGAATGATCGGAAAAGTTTTACAAAAAAAATTATAAAATTTTTAGTTTTCAACAGAATTGATCAAATTTGAGATATAGCCATTTCATATTATTCTACAATTTTGTGTAAAATTTTATGAAAATCGGACGGCTATATCATATAGCTCCCATAGGAACGATCGAGAAATTAATTCAATTAAAAAGTATAACATTTTCAGTTTTCAACAGATTTTCATCAAATTTGAGATATAGCCGTTTCATATTATTCTGAAATTTTGTGTAAAATTTGATGAAAATCGGACTAATATATCATATAGCTACCATAGGAACGATCGAGACATTTGAGAGGAATGAGAATGGCGGTGGCTGTTGTCGGAAGACTGACAATCGCGGTGGCGATAACATTTTTAGTTTTCAACAGAATTTAATCAAATTTGAGATATAGCCATTTCATATTATTCTACAATTTTGTGTAAAATTTGATGAAAATCGGACTAATATATCATATAGCTACCATAGGAACGATCGAGAAATTTGAGAGGAATGAGAATGGCGGTGGCTGTTGTCGGAAGACTGACAATCGCGGTGGCGATAACATTTTTAGTTTTCAACAGAATTTAATCAAATTTGAGATATAGCCATTTCATATTATTCTACAATTTTGTGTAAAATTTGATGAAAATCGGACGACTATATCATATAGCTCCCATAGGAACGATCGAGAAATTAATTCAATTAAAAAGTATAACATTTTCAGTTTTCAACAGATTTTCATCAAATTTGAGATATAGCCGTTTCATATTATTCTGAAATTTTGTGTAAAATTTGATGAAAATCGGACTAATATATCATATAGCTACCATAGGAACGATCGAGACATTTGAGAGGAATGAGAATGGCGGTGGCTGTTGTCGGAAGACTGACAATCGCGGTGGCGATAACATTTTTAGTTTTCAACAGAATTTAACAAATTTGAAATATAGCCATTTCATATTATTCTAAAATTTTGTGTAAAATTTTATGAAAATAGGACGACTATATCATATAGCTCCCATAGGAACGATCGAGAAATTAATACAATTAAATTTATAACTTTTTTAGTTTTCAGCTGATTTTCATCAAATTTGAGGTATAGCCATTTTATATAAGTCTTAAATTTTGTGGCAAATTTCATAAAAATCGGACGTCTATATCATATAGGTGCCATACAAACGATCGTTTGATGTAGAGGAAAAATGCAAATCTGTGAATGTAAAACTGCAAATATAATATGTATAGGTGAATGAAATGAAAGCAGGTATTACTTCATTGTTTTTAACACAAATATATATAATTTATATTGTATGGATTCCTATGCATAGAAGTTCTATCTGCAAGGGTATATAAACTTCGGCGTGCCGACGTTAGCTTCCTTTCTTGTTTTAATTTGTATCAAATAATGATAACAGAGATGTTTACCAATTAAAGTGTTTGGAAAACAAATACATGTCATACTTGTACTACCTTGATGGGCATATTTAAATTTTAAATGTGTATTTTCATAAGGTAGAAGATGAGAGAGAAGCAAAGTTTTATAAAAATATACTTTTAATGTCTCTTTTTTTAGTATTCAATCAAATTGTATTATCTCTAGCTATATCTAATGTAATCACCGGTATTATAAAAAAGTTCTTTACATAATTTTATATTGAGAAAATAGTAAATAATAAAAATAAATAATACCCAAATGTAGGCCAGTCTTATCAATTTAGGCATTGATATGGATTAAGTATGATATCATATATGGGGGTTTATAGAGCAACCAGCAATCTAACAATCCAATGTTGCACTATATGAAATCATTTTAATATTATATTATGCTTACTGAAATTATATTCGTAATATACTTCGATATCGCTATTATTTTTCACCTTTGTTTAAACTGATATAAATCACTGTGAAGTAGTACCTTTCCCTAGTTCTTTTAAGTAGTTTTTCTTTGGAAATTTATATTTGTATAGGGCGTATAAAGTGCATTCCATCGATCAATAGAAACCCCCCATATTTATATTTAGTCAACATTTCGAATACGTTGCCCTGACTCAAACAGGCTAAGAGGCGTGCTGATAAACAAATCTTATCTATATTGCCAGCATAAAATCGGCTTTTATTATTGACGAGGGACCGATAAATGAGCAGACTAGAGGTGCACTTGATTCAGTTTCTTTTTGAACCGCTTGGCGAACAGTTGTATTTAAATAATAAACCCCCATCGTTATGTGGAAGAAAGTGACTTTCTGTGCCGTCCTTGTGGCTTTTCTGGGCTTTCAGTTTGGTAAGGGAGAGTTGTGACGTTCTCCAAGAATCCTTAATAATGGAATATATACTATATCCTTAGCCGATGCGCTGACTTGCTACAGTTGCAACACCGTGGCGGGATGTCGCAACCCCTCAACCCAAACGTGTAACAATGCGACTGCCAATGCCAATAGGGAATATCTGACCACGATTTACAACAATGTGCCCACAGTGAATGGCAGTTCGAGTTTCACTTGTGCCAATTCCACCTACTACTATCCCCAGAGTATGCATTTACTTGTTACATATTTAATCAAAGTATAACACTTTCTAATCAACGCAAAATTCCACTAGACAATACTCACACTTCCGAGTTCTTGGGCTGTGTCTTCCCTGCCACAAATATCTGCCAGCTGACATTGATTAACACTGCTAATCAGGATTCCTGGTCCCGGAGATGCATCACCTGCAACACCGACTACTGTAATCCGGCGGGAACCTTCAGCGGTAGCACCTATACCATCTTGGGATCTGCTATTGCCCTGCTCCTGGCCAAGATCCTTAGTTAGACGGCCAAATGTCTGTGAAAACAGTATTTAAAACAACTTTCAGTTGTAAATATTTAAATAAAAGTAATATTTCCCATTATTTATATTCAAAATGGAAACAGTTTGATTAGGGGTTTAAATTTTGTAGTGTCTGGTATAAGATTTTTATAATAAAGTACGTAAGAAATCACAATTGAACTATTCCCTTGTATCAAATTGTATTTTTGAAAGGAAGTAATTATGGGTTTAATAGTCATTATTAATCATAAAGTTCAAGTTCTTACTTCCTTTAATAAAACAAAGCAATTTCCGTATTGCTTTTATGGTTATTGAAGTCAAATGAATGGCTTGAAAGATTAATAAGTCTGTATAAAGCTTGATGAGAGTAGTTTTTATCTTAATTTTATATATTTTTTTTTAAATTTTAATTATTTATAGAATATATTATTAGGTTTTACAAATTACCCTATATGCATGCAATTTTTTATAAGAGGTTGTTTTGATATAATTCTCGAGTTAAATTCTGATTAAGAAACATTTACTTATCGTTGAAATATTTTAAAATGAGTCAATGTTGCGCCTTTTGTTGATTAAATGGTTGCCAAAGCTTGGAAGCTTTGCAAAACAAATCAACTGAAAACTTCCCCTTTTCTCTTGCTATCAATATTACGTATACGCAGGGTGGATTGAGTTTATTAATATACTGAGGCTAGCATATTGATAAGGTATATATTAACGATGAGATAAGCACTAATCATGGAAAAAGGTCAGATGTGAAATTGTCAACCTATGACGAGGCTCCGGATCTATTGGCTTGGTTTAAGTTAATTAATAGATATTGCCAAATGGTCTTCACAAAGAGTATTTTCTTCACAAAACTATCATAATTTCCATATTTCTAAAGTTTTAATTTCTAAAACGAATCATCTTAAATATTTATGACCATGTCTCGACCGAATCAATTGGAAAGGGGAAACCCTTTCAATGCCCCATTGAAACATTTTCTCAATCTAATAAGGCTATAAAAGTGGTTATAATCTAATCTTTAAAACACTCGAGCTTATCTCAAGTTTCTTCTCCGTCAACTGTTGAGTGAGGTGCTAAAATTAAGAGAATAACCTTATAAAAGAGTGGGTAAAATGCCGAACTGGTTTAGTTTAAAGAAAAGAGGCTAATAACTAAGATCGTTTTACTCCTCTGTAACTTGTTAAAAAACGTAAATATCGCAAAATGAATACCAAGGCAGTGATTGTCAGTGTGCTGATTGCCTTTGTCTGTGTGCAGTTCGGTGAGTAATAGGTCAGATTACCTAATTTCAAAATTACTGAAGATATATTTCTTATATACCAAAGTCAACTCCCTGGTGTGCTACACCTGTGTCACACCAAAGGACTGCAAGAGTCCCAAGAAAGTCACCTGCACCAATGCGGCTGCCAATGAGACAAGCCACCACCTTGGAGTTTACCATCAGAATGTAAGAAACGTGACCAGCACACGTTTCGACTGCCTTGTCCTGAAGTACACCTACAGTGAGTAGTTTGAATATCTAATAAAAAGTCGCAAAGAAAATCTTCTAAAACTCACACCACTCTTCAGATAAGGATGTGATCCATCAGCTCCATGGCTGCGTCCATCCGGCAGTTGGACCCTGCAGCCTGGCCCTGAAGCCGGCCTATGCTCACTACAATAAGACGACATGTCTCACCTGCTCAGGTGATAAGTGCAACAAGAGTCCTGCGGGAAAGATGAGCAGCAGCACTATGACCATTGCGGCTAGCGTATTGGGTCTCTTGCTGGTCAAGATCTATGCCTAAAAGACATGGCTGTATTATTATAGAGATGAGCTAAGAACAAGGGATCCTCCGTTAATAAATTAATTCTTTTTATACATGTTTTTTGTACTCCTCTTGTGTGTTTGTTATCAAAATTGTTTGATTAGATTGACTTCTTGGACTTTCCATGCGTTCACGTTTTAATATTTCACAAGACGCTTATCACTTTTTGATTAAAATTTATGATTGCTTTGATGTGTGGCTTAGCTAAGAGCTACTTGCAACTGGTTAGAACTAAAAAGTTAATATAATTTTCTGAGACTAGCTTCATTAATAGTCATTTGAGCAGATGTTTAAACTTTGAAGTAATATAACATTTTCCATTTGTCTTGTGAGAGTGCTTCCTCTATGTAGTTAAAAGATATTTACCGGCTTTATTGGTAGCCCGGAATTGATTTGGCCAATGGAAAGGCTGTCGCCTGTTTGAAGAGGAAACTCTCCACATTTCCGACTGTCACTTAAATTGGCAAACTATCCCAGGGAAGAGATGGCCCAAGTACAACAGGAAACATGAATAAATCTTTAATATTGTTGCTGGCCGCCTAAAAGGCTGCCACACTTTTGCATGCCGAACATCATCCGCTGGGCCGTGTTGTGTTGTGGAGCTGCAGTCGGGCATTTAATTGATTGATTGTTGCTCGTCTATGTCTGCATCGATTTGGCCAGTGCTTCACCCGTCCCGTCCCCCCTCTTGACTGTTTCATAACCAAATCGTAGGGCCATTCCCTACCTTTGGCGCCCAGCATCATCTCCTGTTCTGTTATCAAATCGACTTCGTGGGCTCTGTGCGCCATGTTGTTGCTGCTGCCAATTAGTGTTGGTGCGTCATCTGTGTGTACTGTGTGTGCGTGTGTGTGTGTGTGGGTGCAGTCATGTGTGTCCCAGTGTGTGTGTGCTTGCCATCAATTAATTTTTGTATTGTTGTAACCAAGCTTTTTTTCGGATTTCCGTTGCACTCGTTGGGTTACGTGGGGGAATCCCCTGTTGACTGATTGATTTCTTTTCGATTCAATTGTTTTACGTGTGTGCAAGGGGAATAAGAATGGGAATGGATGTGTTTCCTAAACAAAGTTATGGTTATGGATTTGACATCCGGAATGGGGGTGAACAATGAAAGCATAGGTGTTTCTTTACATTCCAAACAAGGTTGTTACATATCTTAAAGATATAAGGATCTAACTTATTAAAGAGTGATCCTACTTTTATTCCATTTTCTTTATCATTCTTTTTTAAGTGTTTTTATCAACTTAAGCTTCACCTTTTATTTCTTTTAAATACACTATCATTGATAGCTGAATTTCTTTTACTAAAAAGTATAAAACCATATCCCCCACTTGTCTCTACAACCCCGAATTGCTCTGCTCCCCCGCCCTCAGTTTCGGAAACTTGCCTGAAACTCCCAGAAACTAAAATTAAGTTCAACTTCAACTACAAAATGTACATTTGATTTATGCATTGAGAGACCGTGGAGCAAATCCACCACCACCCAATGCCAGGACCTCACTCCTTGGGAAAAACGTAGACGGGAACCCTCTGATAACTAAGCCAAACCTATTCAACTTTCACGTTCGCATTGTTTGCACGAGCACGAAAAGTTATTAAGATGCATAGACGTGATTTTGCATGTTTTAAAAAAGAATACATAATGCCGCAGATGATGCTGGGAATAGGGGACAATATCAGAGGGGGGAGAGAAACTGGGATCTTGACTTGCACTTTAAGTACTCTTAATTTACTAAACAAATTTCCCAGCGCTACGACCCAAAATGTTGCATTCAAGAGGCCAAGAAAAGAGGCTCAAAAACTTACTCGAAAGCATCCCCCGAGAGAAGACAAACTCATTGACATGCCTGAGACACGAATTGAATTAAAAGTTTCGACTTTTCCGCGGAAATAGAATAACGAGAAGTTTCATTGTTTGGCTCCAGCTAAAAAAAGTTTGCCGCATTTAAATTGATTGTAATTCGCGGTTAATTTCGTTTTTTTTTTACTCCCATTTCCATTGGTGGTTGGTCACTTTTATTCAAGTTAAAATTGTTAGTTTTTGTTCCCTTTTATCCATTTTATTAATATTGTAATTTGGCACGGAATGCCTGACAGTTATTTGACGTTGCAGTGAATGAATGTTGCAAATTAAATCTGTATTAAAATTTAAAATTGCCGCAAAATATCTGCGGTGTGGCGGCCTGGTGCTTTGTGAAGTTTTGGAATTTAAATCAAAGAAGGCTATTTGAATAATGATGCTGGAATGACACGCTGACATTAAAGGTTAAACAAATAATTGAACATTTTGCATAAATTTCGATTTCATTGTTCACAGAATTATTAATAGGAACACATGAATTATTCACATTCTCATTAATTTTTGTATTCAAATATTCCAGAAATAATCTAAGTCCACTGCTCAGTTTAATTAGCATAAACAGCTTTGTGATTTAAAATCTATTACCTCAGCGTTGAATTTTTGACATAAACATATGTGCAGAAATTCAAAGAACATTTTCAATATCAAAATATTTCTCTATTTATTCAGATATTGTTCAGCTCACAAGCGACTCACAGTTCAATGGATTGTGTTCCCAAAATCAGAACAAATTCCGAAAGCACACAAATCCTTAATAAAACACAAATAAATCAGTACAAAAACTCACAATGTTTCTATTTTCCTTTAATAGATTTTATCCTATACATACATACATGTCACGGGAATAAATATGCAGGCAGAAAGTATTCACAACTGGTGAATTTATAATTTATGACAAGCAGCTAAATTGTAAGCCCCAAGAATTTGTAAATGAAAAGTGAAAATCTTGACTAAATTTCCATTTAATCTAGTCCACATTTTGCTGGCCACAAATTCTGTGAAACTGCTTGAAAATTATTATTTTAAAATTAGACCAATACGTTTATCACATTGTGACAAAGTCCACAATAACGAGCTGAGGAAGGGTTGGCTTTTGGGGTTTTGTTGAGAGATTAGCAAAATGTCCTTGGTGTTGCTTCTGCTCCTTTTGGTTTTGGTTTTGGTTTCGGTTTCGGATTTGTTTGTAAGTCATTAGAAACATATTTGGCTTACTTGCTGGTGATTTAACGATGACACAACAAACTTTATTATTATAGTAATGGTCTGGTGTGAGGGTGAAGCTAATGATTTCAAATTTTGTGTCAACTAAGCGTATGTTAAATAGTGGGAAGTTTGTTTTATGAGAAAGTCTTTAGCCTTGGAAATAACTAATAGTGTAAAGCGTCTTAGAATTCTTTTAGGTTGATAAATAGTATGT